GCACCTCATCAGTAGATTTTTGGGGAGGCTTCAGCAGGGGTTAAGTCGTTTGTAGATCACTTATTAGACGTCTGCCAGTGAAGATTCATTGTCACCAGCCATCCTGAGGAATAAAGGCATCAAAATACATCGGAGAGATAGCTTTGGTGCATGTGTTCATGTGTCCTGAGGGCAACTTCTTGATCCAACTAAAGCTTACCATCGCTAGGGCTGACATTAGTTGAACTCTTAGTGCATAGAATCATAGAATCATAGAATCATAGAATGGTCAGGGCTGGAAGGGACCTTCAAAGGTCATCTAGTCCAACCCCCCTGCAAGGAACAGGGATAGCTCCAACTAGATCAGGTTGCTCAGGGCCTCATCCAACCTGGCCTTGAACGTCTCCAGGGATGGAGCATCCACCACCTCTCTGGGCAACCCGTTCCAGTGTTCTACAACTCTCATGGTAAAAAATTTTTTCCTAATATCCAATCTGAATCTACCTCCCTCTATTTTAAAACCATTACCCCTTGTCCTATCACAACAGGCCCTCCTGAACAGCCTCTCCCCATCCTGGGTAGCGAGATTGTCAGTCCCAGTCAGGGAAATCTGCTAGGAAACCTCCCTAGGAAGATGCTACCACAATCTTTTGCCTTTTTGTAACGGCTGTATGACCACTGTCCGATGCTCACTGTGCCTGTGGAGCATTCAGCCTACGTTAGGGCTCTGTGCTTGCCTGCCGTCGGCCTGGAGCTGGCCATTTTCTGACTTGTAGTTTTAGAGAGCCTCAGCCTGGTTGGTGTGGCTGTCCTGGAAGCAGATGGCTGGCAGTGGCAAAGTCGTGGTTGGTGTGTGTTCCTGCTGTAGCGGACGAGACCAGCGCAGCAGCCTGTCAGCCTTGACTCAAGTCTCCCACTAATTCATAACATAAAAATTCCTTCTTGCGCCTCATAAGCAAACCTAGTACCAGGATATTGTCGCTATGGTTCAGTTCTTCTTGCAATATGGTTGCAAAAAAGTCAAGCTTTGTAAACCAAGTTGAGACTGGGAAGGAAGGCACCCGTGCAGTTGCGGAGCACTGCTCATACATGCCCTCACCTTAATCTTAAAAAAGGCATTTTTCCCCTCTAGCATTTATGAAGCAGCCTGGCTGCGGTGGCATTAATGAGGGCACATAGGTGGCAGGCATTCCTCCGGGACGGCTCCTGAGCTTGTGGGTTTGTTTTTCGGAGCCAAAAAAGTCTAGGGGAACTTTATGTGGAGAAGCCCCAAGGTGGGGAAATACGTTTTTAGCTCTGGGCTTATGATTTGCGTTAATTATTGGGTGTGGTGGGGATGGTGGGGTCAGGATTAGTATGTTTGCATAGCTGTGTTTTTGAATGTGTCAAGGGGAACCAAGGTGAAGATTAAAAACTTCTTTTTTAGGGAATGTGGGTATAATTGAAAGCAAATAAACTCTTAATAGTCATCTTCAGGGGCAGTGAGTTGCTTTCTAAATATACTGATGATAATTGCAGAAAATATTCATAGAAGCTGGTTTTACTCACAAGAAGTATTCATCCCTCGGCACAGGAAGAGAGAAAAGCACGTTGTCCTCTGTGGTGGTGGGTTGCTGTGAGAAATACAGGGGAAGCTGAACTCTGTCCCCTGCACTGTAATTTCCAGCGTTTCCATCCTTCAAATAGTGTAAAACGTGTGAGCGTTTGGAGCGAGCGCAGCCAGAGCTTGTCCACCACCACCTCCTTGGCCCGGTGTCGCGCTGCCTTGGGGCAGCAGGCTACTCGCTCTGCTTCCCCCTGCTCCCCGCTGTAAATTAGGGTCGAAAGAAAATGGCTCCACGCAAGTGTGAGGCAAGAGGAAGGCGTCGCAGCTGATTTTCGGGGTGACGATCTTGGAGCAGCCGTGCAGATGCCCCGGCCGCTTAGCGCGGCGTGCGGGAACGTTTCGCCTGCCGTAGCTCTCTGGACAGCCGGGACGCTGAGAAAAATCCCTCGGGGCTATTTCTGTGGGATTTATTGACTGTTCTGTTGTACTGCTGACTGATTCCTGTGCAGGCTGAGATGCCATTTTGTAGACATTGTACCCCGAGATAAATTTATTCGTTCGCCCGTTATGTGACCTGTGTATTGGATCAGACACGTACAATGGACCCTGGTAGCAGCAGCTCGAGCCTTGACGAATTGAATGTCCATCTCCTGAGGTTCATGACAGCAGCTTGCTTGCTACCCACTCTGTTAGAAGGATTACCTAACCAGTGCACAATCACTATGGAGACCAGATGGTCTTTCTGCCTGTTTCTTTAGACAAATTGGGCTCAGTGTTCCCTTATGAATAGATATAAGCCCTTCAAAGCCCCCTTGTTGAATGTAGTTTCTGCTCCCAGATGAAGAATTCTGAATGTAAACTCATTGCTTGTTTGTGGTCTGGGCCTCCTGCATCGAGGGAGGCAGTTTTGCTGGGGGTTCGCAATTTGTTCAGCAGCTTGGAACTTGGGAAGTTTGTCTGTTGTCTTCTGTGTACCTTGAATTGCAAGTCTTTTGTCCATCTGTGTTGCTTACGATGTTTTTAAAACTGTTTACACAAATCAGTGCACTTAGCAGTGCAGGCAAATCAGACCTGCAAGGCAAGGGTGTCCTAAATAGCAACCTTCCAAAGTGTTAGAAAGAATAAGTGACTTACAGATTTTTTTTATTTTTTTTTTTTGAGGATAAGGTGAAATTTCTGCGGCTTACCTGTTTTATCAAATATCTTCATAATAACAGCCATGAATTTGTGTTTACAGGTCTGTAGCATGTCTAGCATGATCCAAAAGGATATAGCTCTTCCAAGTCATTTATTTGCTAACCTTCTTCTGGGCTTGCTGTTGAGACCATTTTTAGTTCTAGTTTGCAACCTTTACCTTTGTTTTTGGTAAGGTTAGCAAAATACCTAGGTTACCAGTGAATTCCTTTAGATATCTTCAAGGTTCTTATATGGTAAAATGAGTCAAAAAGAGCAAAACTCTGGGTGTTGAAATCAGATAGTTATTCAATTGAAAATTATGAACAGCCACTGAATTTATGCAGAAAAGAATGGGGTTTGGGGGGTAATATAGTAAGAATGGTTTCTAGTTAAAATGTTTGTTCTAAAACTGAGCCGAAGATCTTGTACAGCTTCTTCTACTGAGTCTTTCAATCCCTGAACTGCTGGTGTATTTTGTGAGATTCACCATCAGTCCTTCTGTTTTGAGTTGCGGTCTTTGTGTGCCACGTGTAGAGCTGATGCGTTCGGATGGTCAGGAAGAACTTGGGTCTTGTTACCTTTGGGCACGTGCCCTGCTTGGTGCTGACTTTCTTGTTTTACTGGCAGATTAACTTCAGATCAGAACAAAGCTAAGGAAGGAGGTTGCTGGGTGGTTGGTGGCGTAAATTGCACAGTGGCCTTTCGCTGCAAGGGTCACAGTTGGAATCCAGGCATGGGGAAGGACAAACATGCTGCAGGACATTGCTCTGATTGGTTTGGTCCAAATGGTAATTGTGAAACAATCCTGCTGTCTGTAGTTGGTCTTCCAAAAAGCAAACTGGAGGAGACTCAAAGTTTGCCCTAAATTGTCAATGAGAACGGAGAGGACAGAATTAGAAAATAAACTATTTACTCAAACAGTGACAGTATTAATTCAATGTCAGTTGTTAAAGTATGTTTATAAAAATGTGTGTGTGAAGTCCAGGAATCCCCTTAACCAGACCTCTCTTCTCCATTCGTAACTTCTGTCTGAATCTTTTTGTATTCATTTTGCTTACAGCTGGAGTAAAGTGCAAGTTCTGTTTGACTGAGAGCCACTTTTTGGTGTTTTCTAGGAAGGCTACGTGCAGCTCCATCCTCTTCTTGGCATCTGTAGCAGCTGGCCACGAAGACAATGCAGAGCATGCTGAATGCTAACCGTGCCTGTGTTTGAGTGATCCTACAGGTATGCTCTTTGGTGTATGCTACACTTTTCATCTACAAGTGCCAAGGGCTGGAGGTAGAGATGTTAGAGTATATGCAAGCTCTAGAAGATAAGATTCTGTTCTCACAATGGCTTATTTTGACAAAATTTTAGTGAGGCTGCAGTGTGTTCTCCTAAGAGTGATGGTCTGAGATCTGACATGCAAAGAAGCACAGCGCTGATGGAAAAAGCACTTTGATGTTGTTTCTGTAAGCTGCAAACAGTGGAGATTCACTCCAAGTAACAAAAAGAACAGATTGATCTTTTTTACTTTGGGGTATGCTTTACATAGGTCCAAACTTTTCAGTCATCTCACTGGAGCAATTTGACTGCTCCAGTGTGTGCTATTTTCTGTGAATTCAGTAAAAAGCTGAAAACAGAGCATTTTACTAAGTGAACGATCGGGCTGTGCCGTACTGATTGAACACGATGCAGTTTTGTGCTGTGATGGGACATGAGGCTGTTCACTAACCGAGTTATTTTTCATTTGCGTTTTTGGCGTGGTGGTTTTTTCCTTTCTCCTGGATTGACTCCATTTAAACACAAAGTTGGGGTTTGCTGAACAGTGTGTTGAGGCAACACTTGGTTGCACAGAAACCAGTCAAGCTGAAACTGCAGTGGGCTTGTCTCCTGGCAGAAGGGATTTCTCTGAAAGTACAGTTCACTTTACATCTAACTTATGATTATCTCGCTGTCTCCCTTTCATTATGCCATTGTTCTTGGGAGCCAGAGATTTTCTGAGTTATAAGAAAAGGATGTTGCCAAGGGTGTGGGTGGAGAAAGGTGTTGACATGATTTCAATGGAGCTAGATTCCAGCTTTGTAACAGAGGGGTAACGAGCCATACAGAGAATAGGCTTTCCTAGCCTGCCCTTAAAATAAGTTCAGTTATGAATTTAATGTTATAAAAGGCTTTTTAATGGCTTTTTTGAAACAATTGTTTCATATCGTTTTTTTAAAAGGCACTTTCCTGTGTAGAGGGTAAAAATGGTCTGTTACTTTTCACTCTGTCTTCTAGCCATTGTTTCTAATAAAACTGTTCTTAATTTAGTGGAAAATGGGGAATTCGGAAAGCCAATACAGTCTTCAGGGATCAAAAAATCATGCTGCTGCTACAGCTGGTGCCAAGCAGAAGCCTTGCTCTCTGAAAATCCGCAGCATTCATGCTAAAGACGAAAAGTCTTGCTCTGTGCATGGATGGGGACATACCAGTAGCAGCTCGAACTACAAATCGAGGTCCCTGGCCAGAAGCTGCCTCTCGCACTTCAAGAGCAGTCAGCCGTATTCGTCCAGGCTCGGTGACACTGTGGTGAAGGTCTCCAAAAACAATGCCCATGCTAAACACAGAACAAGCGCCTCAGGGGACTACTGCCAAGGAAATAACACGGTGTTTTTGCCCGAGAACGGTTTCCACTATATTGGCCTTCAAGCTGGAAGTCATCACGCTGCCTCTCGAGAATGCAATGGACACATTTTAAATTGCTACGGAAAGAATGAGAGTCTTGCATCAGCCTCCCCATCAGAGGACAGGAGGAGTCCGAAAGTTCTCATTAAAACACTGGGGAAGCTGGATGGCTGCTTGAGGGTTGAGTTCCACAACAGCAGCAACAGCAAGGTGCCCACTGAGGAGTCCAGTGGACCCGTCCAGTTGCTGAGGTATTCGCCTGCCTTGGAATCTAAGCCGAATAACCTACTCGATGTCAGGAGAAACTCCAGTGCAGACTGTTCTTCAAGCCATCGTCTGTCACCTACTGATTCCAGGCTTCAGTCTAGTAAAGGAAGTTCCCTCAGCTCCGAGTCTTCGTGGTATGACTCCCTCTGGGGAAATGCTGGGGATATCAGTGAGCTGGATGGTCCGTATTTGACCAGGAGCACTCCAGATACAAGCATTCATGCCAGTTTCCCAGCAAGCGACAACAAGAAGTCCTTCAATCAAAGTTCATCTCTTTCCTCGCTCCGAGATCTCTATAAGGATACAAATTTGGAAAGCACGCCTCCACCGAGGATCAGGCTGTCTGATGAGTATATTGACACGCATGTTAGCCTAAGCAACCGTGTCTCATTTGCCTCAGACATTGATGTTCCCTCCAGGGTGGAGCAGGGAAGTCCTGCACATTACTCGTCCTACACACTCCCATGCAGAAAGTCCAAGCCCCTCAATGAGGATGCATCCAAGAAGGATACATTGAAAAACCGAATGCGCCGCATCAGTGACTGGACGGGAAGTCTCTCGAGGAAGAAGAGGAAGCTGCAGGTATGTACAAACCCCAGCCGAAGTGCTTGACAGTTGCTTTTGTAGATTCCTCTTATAAACGTAGTGATCACCTCGTGGTTGTCTTTCTGGCAGGGTAATTACTTACTAATCTCATTTGGTAATTCATGGAATTCTGAGAAGTATTGCATCCCTGGAGCTGTCTGAAATGAGCACAACAACAACGTTTGTGTGTGCAAATTTTCCCTTCCTATTTTGTCACCTCCTTAGCTAGCTCCAGGCTCTGCAGCCTGATCTCTCAGTGCATTAGCCTTTGAAATGGCTGCGTTACTTACGGAGTGACGTCGAGTTTTTAAGCCTTCCCTTCATTTCAGCTGTGAGAATACAACCTGGGTATCCTATACATGCTATGAATCAACACACGTTATCTAAAGCGTGTGGAAGGAGCCGGAGAAGGACGCTGTGAGGTCCTACCTTTGCAGGTTTTCCCTATTTGTGTTAGTGGCTTTGTCACTCGCTCCCGTTTCACTGCCGGTCCGTCTCTAGCAGGGCGAGCAACCGTGGAGTATCGACCAGAGCGGCTGGTTCTGCCTCCACCGGCCATGAAGGCAGGACATGGAGCACCCTCTGCCTTCCTGCGTGTCGGCTTGCTTCACCAGATGGAAAACCTGGAGTTGCCATCTGGCATGTCGGGAGATGGCGGTGCAAAGAAGGAGATGGGAGGAGGGCAAGAGGGAGGGAAAGGATGTTTCTTTAGAAGAATTTAAGGCTAATCCCTTAATAGGAATTTAGGATGCCTGTGGTCAGGAATGAAATTCTCATCTCTAGCTGTAGGCCCCAGAGTCAGCTCTTCAAATGCCAGACTGTGCCTCGACTTCCGCGTGTGAGTTCTCAAGCTGAGATGGAGGGCAGAGACTGGTTTTGGCTTTGGTTTGGACTTTTTTAAAAAAAATAAAAAAATAAAAAAATCTTCCCTAGTGTTTCTTGCACAGGAACAGTCACTGTGCTTCTCTAAATGTGAAGGATCTGCTCCTTTTCAGCAACACTGGGGTGGTGGCCACTTCAGAAGTGAGGAGCAGAGTGTGAAGGGAACCCTATAACACACGCTTGCCGTGGCAGGTAGAGCACATGCTGTCTCCTGTGTTGGAAGTGCAGACAGGATAGAGCTCAATGGGCATCCGTCGTTGCAGTGTGGAACTCTGGTGGACCCTTAGGCTCAGCAGTGAGGTCAGCGTCAGGTTTGCCAGCGTAAATCCCAGGTAAGGGCTTACAGAACGGGGAACACGAAAGCCGTTTATTTGGATCACTTCTTTTGTGAGTTGGTGCTCATGTATTTTATCGGATGCTGTCTTTTCACCTTCTCACTCAGCTGTGAAAGAGAAGGTGGAAAAACTGGGATCAGTGAAGAGCCTCAGCGCCTTGTGCCAGGATTCTCCATTGGTTTCAACATCTGTAGCTGTTCTGGATTTTACAGCCAGGCTTTACAGATGATCTCTGCATCCCAGACCTTTGCCATGTATTACTTAGTTATGACATTTTCAGAATGGTATTTGTGGTGCACGACTCATAGCTGTTTTGAATTCACTGTGCAGAGAACTAACTTCAGGCACAGCAAGGAAATTTGGCTGGCGAGATTGCATCAAGCTTGAATCTGATTCTGGTAGAAGGAAATCAGCCCTAGCTCTGAAAGTGGTGACTTCTAAGAAAAAGGCGTAGGAAATAATTAGTCATTGCTTTTTATCAGACAAGTATCCAGCAAGAGGGAGGATAGGAGAGGTAGCAAGTGCTTTATGATAAAAATCATCCGCCTTCCTCGTGAGGCTCGGTCTGCCCCTTGCTGCCTTGCACGCTCTGAGGAACCTGCCGTCTCTTTTGGGGGTTGCCATGTTGTAGTTTGGGAACAATTGTGCTCTTTCCGGATCCTCTGGCTGAACAATGCAGAAGTGCCGTGCGTGGTTGTGGTCCGTCAGATGGTCAGTCCCTGCTTGTAGGGCCGTTCGTCACGGCGGTTGTAGCCTCGGTGCTTTGCTCCGAACGACGTGTCCCTTCCTCCGTGCGTGACGAACGACTGACTGTGAGTCACCGTCGCGCGTGAGCGCGGGGGAAGGCTGGAGTATTCCCCGTGAGCAGGCCTGAGCGCCGGGGCTGGCTGGCTGGATACGTCCCTCCGGCTGCCCCAGTGGAAACAAGTCAGCCAAGCGTCCCGCTTCGCGGGGAGGTGGGACCGGGAGGCTCTGTCTTGGGGTGCTGAGGCCAGTCCCTTGGCGCTAGAAAGGCAATGGAGTTTAATCCCCTTCGTCAACAAATCGCAGCTTAAAATCAGGTGAGCTTTTCCCCAGCTGGAAGGCTGTTTCCAAACCTGCTTGCTGATTTGCAGAGTAAATGCGGTCCTGGCCGGTTTGTTCCGATGCCAGTATTGTCTGCTGCATTGGTTATCCTTCCCTGTTATCTCATCGGTTACGATTTATTTAAAGGGAGAAATGATGTTTTCTTGGCCCGCGTTTGTGGGGCTATGCAGACTCTCTGTGGTCTCCTGTCTTAAGATAGGAAGTCTTTCCTTTTCATTCTGGCACCCATCCTCTGCACCTGTTTTAAATCACCAATAACCAGATTTGGATATAGGATATTCCAGAGGAGCCCTTGGCTGTGCCCTGTCCAGTGATTTGGATGTTTCCTTATGTCTGACTTGAGCTGATACTTGGTCGGATGTGTCCTGGAATTGAGGTTGCCCTTCTAACAATGGTCTCACGTCAAGACTTGCAGTCATTCTGTGCCATGACCCAGCTTTCGTTGCACGAGGGTGTCCCGATGCATTCCCTCGGAGCGTCACTGGTGCTCTGCTGCACGGTGTGTCCTGTTCTAGCTTAGTCCTTGCAGAAACAGCACTGGGGAGATGCTGTGTCACAACACACCATGCATGAGCAGCAAGGTATATGTGATGCGTGTGAGACCGATGGACAGAATTTAGGCAGACTTGTTGCACAGTGAGCCACTGCTAAAGGCAGCGCTGTGAACTTAGTGTGCGACTGTGTAACGGGGAGAAAATGAGCAAATGCTGTGTGAAATGATAAGCCAGCCACCAGAAACAGCTGCTGCAGATAGGTTCTTCAATGAAGTAAATAACCTCTTTGTGGGAATAATTTCTGAAATTTCCTGACTTTATAAGCCAGAGCCCTGAAGTGTGGTGTAAAGAGAACGTGAAAGAAAAGTACATTGAAACAACCTCTTTATTTGGCTTGAAAACTGGTATGAGATTCTACTTTCAGCTTGGATCCTAATGAATTTAGCAGGCTGCCTTGTTTCCTGCGCTGTTGTTTACAGCTAATTATTACATGCGTCACTTTGACTAACTGGTATCTTAGTTAGCCTCTTTATCTTTTGCATTATCTATAACTGTTCCAGGGTATATTTCAGACATTGAGAGATCTGCTTGGATGCAGCTGAGCAGAAACAGTGGTAGTTTTCTGTCATCGCCAGGTGCAACGGAGAGAAGATGAGCAGAAAGTTGGCTGGCAGGGAAACCACCACCAGCAGCAATTGGGTCAGACCTTTTCAGCAGTGACCAGATACTGCTACAGTGACAGCCTCCCCAGGGACCAGCAGAGACTGTGTGACTCTGCCAATTCTGTTCTTCAAAAAAAACCCCAACATACAAGTGATGTTGTCATGGTGAAGTGTATATATTCGTTTTGGATCCTATGTCTGATTACTCGGGTACTTCCTCATTTCTACCCTTTCTGTGTGCATGGAGAAAACAAAGGATGTGGTTAGTGGACAGGTTATATCCCACCCTTTTTGTCTACACAGCTTGTTGGAGTAGTGGCCCTTCACAGCAGACACCTTCTTATGTACATGTCTCATGTTGTTTTTCTTGCTAGTGCTTTGAGACTGAAAGAGAAACGTGTTCTTACTAAACTGTACGTTAATGTTCTCTAGAGGCCACTCAGTTCCTGGAGAATAGTCAAACAATTAAAATACAGGATTTTGGCACACATGTACAGTGGCAGGAATTAAAGAGAGGGCGGAGAAAGCTTCCAGCTTCCCACTGAACTGCAGATGGCCGGCGCAGTTGTACGACCCGTGTTGTGCAGTTGCTTCGTGGGCATAAACACATTGTGTGTGTGATTGTTCCCTGCCCCCCACGCCCCGGTTTCCCTCCCTTTACCGTATAAAAAGTAAAACTGTTGAAGTTTGGGGAGTTACGCCCAGCGAACGCTGATTAACACTCAGCAGGGAGACTGGGGGAAGGTGCTCCGCTGCCCGGAGCATTGAGTCCTTGTCGCCAGACACAGCGAGCCAAAAGCCAGACTTGAACCTCAGCGTACCGTGGGAGAACGTGGGTTTTGGTTCAAGTTGGCTTCTGCGAGGCCACAGCAGTGTCCTGCTGCTTGACGTGGCCCGTCTGGCGATGCCTGGGAGGACCCGCGGTCCCGCTGCTGCTCTTGGCTGCGTGCTGGAGGTCCTGACGCTATCAAAACACAGCACAGCTCTTCTGCTGTTGTTTTGAAGAGCATCTAGTAGGAGGCAAAGGAACAAAAAAGTAGTTGCTTTCAAAGCTGCGGGTGAGAGCAGCTCACAGGAGACTGAGGTTTATTTACTTTATTCGTGTACAGAAGTCTGTGAGCAAATAAATGCTTTTAGAGAGGCAGCCTAAACTTGAAAGTATAATAGCTTTATTATTACTGAGGGTAATAGCTTCACTTCTTGAATTGCTTGTAGCCATCACTTCTCCCTTCCCTCACACTTTCACTGCAGAAAGCAGCAGGTTGTTAGCGTTGTATGTTCTTACACCTCGGTTGCTTTTAAATAGCGTCAGCAACGCTTGAGTTGGGAAGACAATAAATGGCCTCGTAGGGTGGCTGGTGTGGCTCTTGACAGTGAATTTAGTCCAAGGAGCTCTGTCTTGCCTAGTATGAAATTCCCTGGCTGTCACTAGAGCCTGAGAGAGTAGGAATCAGTCAGTGCCTTACTGGGAAGGGGTTAGGAAAGAAATGGGTCTGATCTGCCAACAAGGTCCCACGTCAACAAGCAGCGGCAAGGAATGGACCTATGTTAGCATCCATATCACAAGGCAAGGTGGAGGTCGTACCATCAGGCCCGAGTAGTCCAAATCCAATTGGCCAGCCCTCGCAATAGAAGGGATGAAGTTGCACAATGGAATTAGGAGAAAGGCCCGTCTGTGCTTGAGGAGGTTGTCAAGCTCCCGGGGGCTTTCCAGCAAGCCAGAAAATGCACACCTCTGCAGTCTGGAGACTGGATTTGTGCCAGTCAGCAGGGCCATCTTTCTTTTTTTAAATCACATCTTCTATTAGATTAGATTTTTGTCAATCGGTCGATACTAACAAGCTTAAAATATTCTCAACTTTTGACCTTTTTTGTGTTGGTTAAGCACAGTTTATATGACAGATAAAAAGTGGGGGTAAAATCAGCCTGGCTGTGCTGACGCTGAACGTAGCTGCCTTGCACAAATGGAGTGTCACCAAAGTATTGAAAACCATGTAATAATAAAGAAACTTGTTGTGACGCTGTTCCTGCTTGTACTCAAACAGGCGTGGTGGTGCCTGGCTTCCAGCCAGAGGATGTGGTTCCTCCTGGAGTCCATCAGGCTTCAGGCAGTAGAAGCTCCAGTAGTTACTGGTGAATTTGGAGGTTACTCGCAGATGTCTGAGTTACCAAAGCTCGCAGCCGTAGTGGTTCGGGTTTGCTGGGGTTCTGCTGAGAACACCTGGAGTGGTGACACTGACAGTGTCAGTGGCTACCAAGGCAAAGCCTGTGATGTAACGGTGGAAAGAGGTGGCTGTTGATGAAGAAGCTGACCGTGGCTAAACATGAAACAGATTTAAATGCCAAATGAGATGTGTCTTTGCATCGTAGCTCTGGTGACTGATCGCTGGCAATTTCCTTTTTTGCACAGGAGCCAAAGGGTAAAGATGGGAGTGAATACTTTGACAGCAGAATGGACAACTTCACCACGGACACGCTGGCACCGTCGCAGCTCTCCACTTCGCCGTGGTCACCTGGCTCCAGCCACGTCCTGTCCCAGAGAAGTGAGTCCACCAACGCCATCAGCAGCGATGTTCTGAGGCAGAACATTTACGAAAACTTCATGCGGGAGCTGGAGATGAGCAGGACAAACTTGGAGAACACTGAGACCTCGTCGGAAACGGAGGACTCCAGCGGCGAGTCACTCAGCTCCTTGGAGCAGTTGGATTTGTTGTATGAGAAGGAGCAAGGAGTGGTGCGCAAGGCAGGGTGGCTGTTCTTTAAACCCCTCGTGACGCTGCAGAAGGAGAAGAAGCTGGAGCTGGTCACACGGCGAAAGTGGAAGCAGTACTGGGTCACGCTCAAAGGTAAGCCACCACGTTGCTCCTTCGGCTTAGTGGCAGCCGTTGTTTCCATTGTGTCTCAGCAACTTTTCGTGCATACTGGTTTCTGTTAGCAGGTTCAGGGGGTCAGAAATTCATGCCTAACTTCACACAGCCTGCTCACGCACTGAAAGTGGAGCACGTGCCCAAGCAGCCCACGGAATCGAGGTGGTGTTCATGTGTTTGGTATTGCATATGCAGCCTTACTTTTCATCCCGTAGCAGGAATTGTTTTGTCTGACTTCCCAGTTTCTGTGCTTGCACAGAATTGGGAGTTTAGAAGATGCTTTCGGATGTTTGGAGGTCAAAGAACAAATTGAACCAAAACTGAGAAAAATACAGAAGTTCCACTTCTCTATCAGGGGAATTCGAAACTTAAGGATCAGGAGAAGTGCTCTGTGCCCGATTCCTTGTCACAGGCACGGAGCTGCTTGGGCTCTGCTGTGAGGTTTACTTAACGTTGAGACAAGTTAAGGTAAAAATGTTCAGTTCGTTTCCCGTGCTTCAGGTGGCAACGTAACACAGCGGCGAGCTCCCGGTGCGAGCGCCTTTACCCAGAAAAGCGTGCGATTCAGGGCAGGGGAAGCCCAGCAGTGCCGGCGCTTAGCTGCCACGGGCCATGGCTTGCCAGCCTCCCTGCTTTCCTTGGATGGTCCTTCCCCTCGCCCCCTCCC